CCTGCGCCTCACCGCGTTCCGCCCTGATAGTCATCCATCGCGAACGGATTGTGGAGGACGGCTATAGGCAACTGGCCGCCCAGCCCACACAAGCACTGAAAGGCGTTATCCGGGTGCGGTTCATCAACCAGCAGGGTCTGCACGAGGCGGGCATTGACCAGGATGGTGTGTTCAAGGAGTTCCTAGAGGAGACCATCAAGAAGGTGTTCGATCCGTCGCTGAATCTCTTCAAGACCACCTCGGATCAGCGGCTCTATCCGTCGCCCATCTCCTACGTTCAGGACAATCATCTGCAGCTCTTCGAGTTCGTGGGCCGCATGCTGGGCAAGGCGGTGTACGAGGGCATCGTGGTGGACGTCCCGTTTGCCTCCTTCTTCCTCTCCCAGCTGCTCGGCCAGACCCAGCAGGCTCTCTACTCCTGCATGGACGAGCTGCCCTCGCTGGACAACGAGCTGTATCGCAGTCTAACCTTCATCAAACACTACAAGCAGGACGTCGCCGATCTTAACCTTACCTTTTCCGTCGACCAGGATGTCATGGGCAAGATTGTCACTCATGAACTGCATCCCGGCGGCAAGGCGCGTGTGGTCAATGATCACAACAAGTTGGTCTACATCCACTACATGGCCTTTTTCCACATGAACACCCAGATCCGCGAGCAGACGATTGCTTTTAATCGTGGCTTCCGCAGCATTGTCAATCCCGAGTGGTTGTCTCTGTTCTCACCGCCCGAATTGCAGCGCCTCATATCCGGGGACACGGTGCCCTTGGATTTGAAGGATCTGCGGAAGCATACGCAGTATTATGGTGGCTTTCACGACTCGCATCGTGTGGTGGGCTGGCTCTGGGACATCCTGGCCAAGGACTTCACAGAGGAGGAGCGCAAGCTGTTTCTAAAGGTACGTTGTTAGTCAATTGACGCAGATCGGTGATTTGATAAACGAAATCTTCTTTTTTAGTTTGTAACCAGCTGCTCGAAGCCTCCGCTCTTGGGTTTCGCCCACCTAGAGCCGCCGTTCTCCATTCGTTGTGTGGAGGTGGGTGATGACGAGGACACGGGGGACACGATTGGCAGTGTGATCCGAGGTTTCTTTACCATACGCAAAAAAGACCCACTCAACCGCCTGCCCACCTCGTCCACCTGCTTCAACCTTCTGAAGTTGCCCAACTACCAAAAGAAGTCCACGCTGCGGGACAAACTGCGCTACGCTGTGAGCAGCAACACCGGATTCGAGTTGTCCTAAAGCAGCTTGGAATGGTTTCCCCCACTATTTCCTACTTTATTCACATTTTGTATGTTATTCCTTTTTAAGCATCTTTTCGTAGGCAATTCGGTGTAAGAGTGTTTTTTTTATCTATGTTTTGTGACCGCATCACAAACGGATTGGAAAACATATTTAATGAATCTTAAACACAATTATTAACAAATAAATATAAACGTATAGCTGTGATAAAACTATAATAAACTAACGAAGAGTACACAACAAATACCAAGCTGAATTACGAATACTGGAGAATGAGCAATCCATTTTGGGTAGCCGATGATAAAAGCGAAAATGTCTAGTAAATTGTGGCATGGCGCACACAATAAATATCTAACCCACGTACAGTGTAAGCCAAAAGTTACATGTAAACCACGAAAAAGAAAAAAAAACGAGCAACAATAAATCTATGTGTCTGATTCATGTGCAAAATGTAAGCTGTTTATCAGATTTGTCTTGCGCCAGGAAGGTAGCCTAAGCGCGTTCCCAACGATAACAAACATGCAATTAGTGAGCGCTGCTCAAATTTCCCCGGGTTTTTCCATCCCGAATACTGAATGAAAATGGAAATGAAGCCGGACACAAGGTGGCGAGCAGCGTGAGCGCTAATGACACAAATCCGTCTGGACGGGACCTGCTGTCCTGAACTCCTGAACTCCCGAACTGCTGAACTCCTGAACTCCCGTCCACCGCTAATTGCCTGAGTCACACACTCAAGGGTCGCAGTCGTTGTCTTTTTTTGTTGGGTCGGGTCAGGGGCACTTAGACCGTCCGGAATAAGCGGAAATATGGCAAGGAGTTTATGCAAAGCTAGTCGAGTTACGAATTACCGGAAATTGCATATCTGACTGACTAATGACCGGAGACGGGTAAGCGAAATGCGAGCAGGGATTTATATCCCTCTCATTTCCTTTAATACCAAGATATCCCAGGAAAAAATCCAATCAAGATACAAATGCGAAGGGTCGTTTTTGAATTTTGAAGTCATTATTACATTCTTAGATTATTTTTGTACAATGTTTGCAATTTAAAACATATCACTTAGTCTTCGACATACTTCTCAACTAACTACAAAAACAGATTAACGATCCTTATAAAGGTTCATTGTTAAATTTAACATTCTTTTAAACTGCTATATTTATATTTGTATGCTTATACATATGTTAAAAACAGTGAGGCTAATTTTTCGATCATTCTATAGCGTATATATCGCTGTCCGATTTCAATCAAATTTAAAACGTAATTCTAAAATATTAAACTATTACTATATATCGAAATATTTTTCAATAAATTAATAATAATAATAATATTAAATAGTCTTCCGAATTTATTAAAACCTCGAAATATGTTCTTACAAGTTAAAAAACAGCGAAGTTAATATTTTTTTTTCATTTTTTTCCGTTTGATCCTATGGAAACTATATGATATAGTCGTACGATCCGGCTCTATCCGACTTAAATACTACCTGCAATACAAGGACAAATTTTGTTGTTGTAACGTAGAAACGAAAAAAATGGCTAATTGACTAATTTAAAAAAAATGCAACTGAATATGAGAAATATTAAATAAATCCTTTACGCTGAATTTTAGAGAACATACGTATTTTCATTAAATATCAGTATCATAATTTTATCTCTGCATAAAATCTGCATCTCCAAAGGTAATTTGAGACATTTATCCTGGCCATCGATCGTTAAGGATCTTTATGGGTTCCGTACCGTTCCGGTTCCCATTTTCGTACCCCCAAGCGATGTCCTTTTGCGGTTTTGTCGGCCCGCTTTTGTCTCCAACCTTTAGGCGGCCAGACACAATAGCAAACAAATTGTAGAGCAGACCCACAAACAGGCAATAATCATAACAATAATTTTGAAAACTGCAGAGAGACACAAACAGTCGGCGGTCGTCGCACCGTCAGGCCATAAAAACTCGCATCCTCGCATCCTCGAGACTCTTGCTCTTTTGTTCCCAGCGATGAGGCAGCATCTCGGGGACAAAGTGTGATGATTTTTATGACTCGCCCTCGCCTGTGAGTTTGTGCCGCCGAAGAAACAGGACCAGGACAAGTGGCAGCAAGTGACTGATCCGTTAGACGTATCCCTTTTTTTGTAGCCCATCCCATCTCATCCCACTCTGAATTTCAAGTGGCTGGAAGGCGACAGTGGCCTGGCGCCAGTTTGATTCGATGCCCGCTCCCGACTGCCGCAATTTGTTGTGGCCCAGCATCAAGTGCCGTTTAAAGGTTTGATTAGCCCGGTTTATCACGGAGCGGATCTCTTTCTAGCGACCCTCCGGTGCAAACGGTAGCGGCGGAGATTGCGTTGCATCCATGTACAAGATGCAACAACGATTGCAGATAAGTTAAACGCTCTGGAGCAGATGGGTGCTGATCAACACAGCAAGATATATTCGAGCGGATATCAAAGGTTTGACACTCAAGTGCGCTCTCTAAAATATAGATGATCAAAATATTAAACAATGTTCAAGATATGGCCCTTGATTTTAAGGAAACTCTGTGGGAAAAGTGTTTAAAGATTTTCCAGATTCTGTAGAATTTGAAATTATGTATTTGTAACTGAGATCTATAAGATATATATTAAGTCCATTGTTTTATGTTCTATGGAAGTAGGAAACTTATGTTGGCTAATTTTGCATTATTTCCTTATTAAATATATATATTATTTCTGGTCTGATGTATATTGATAATACAATTGTTCAATTTTAATACAATTATTTTTAAGCACTTGTGAAACCGACATGTGTTATTATGTTCATAAGTCATGATTTATTAAAGCCATTAATAATAATGACATTTAGTAAAGTTAAGCACAACTGATCAATTAAGCCCAGGCCACTAAAGTTCAGACTTAAATTAAAACTGATAGTAAAACATAGATGTGTTAATTTTTTGATGGTTTAATTATTTGAATACAAATTTAAAACATTCTTAGAAAAAGTAATTGGCTTAAATTATAATACTGTTTTTTGGGACTGATCACGTTAAAAACATCACATAAATTTGAATACAATAAAAATTATAGACAATATCACAAGTTATTGCGAAGAGTTATTTGAAATCGATTTTTGTAGAGCTATTTACGAAATTTTTTTTTTTAAATATTACGCCATATCTTATTGTTTTTGATTTTCCTCGTGCTCCCAAAATGATAGCTTCCCATTTTTAGAAGAACGTAATCTCGGCGAACATTATTGGTTGGCCCATATCCAAAACGTTTTCCAGTCCCATAAATATATTACAAGCGATTAGGCGACTTCAAAGAGCGTTTCCCCATTGCTCCCCAGAAAAACCCCTTTCCCCGTTGCCGTTCCCCTTTCCACGGAATGCTATCAGCAGCAGCAAGATGGGTGCCGTGCCCCCAGTTCCGAGGGAGGAGAAGGTCATCCAGAACTAAAACCCGAACTGCAACCAAAACCCCCTCCAAAGTGACACGAAAATGGCGTTCCATCTGGCGCAGCGTGCGAGAGCGGGATGGCGATGGGTTTGCTGATAAGCAGCCAATGGCAGGGAGATCTATACATACACATGGAGACACAGACACTCACAGAGTGAGTGGAAGCGAGAGAGCGGGTGACGACGCACTTGAGCATGAGAACAGGTCGGACGACTACCTGAGGATCGGCAGAGGGAGAGTGAGAGGGAGGAACCCATTCGACCGGATTCTGGCAGAATCGAAGTAGTGCCCGCTCTGAAACACAGAAAGACAGTCTCAATCTGGACAGCAAACCGATCAGTTCGTGCTCCAGTCGTCGCCACTCGATCGACTTTCCCACGGACCCACTTCACCCGCAAAGAACAAGATTACTTATCACCACGAAGAACCCAACATGTTGACCTTGCCCAACATCGCCGATCTGCGTCTGCAGCATCAGATCGCCCAGGAAATATACCGCCAGCAGATTATGCAACGATTGCCGGGTAAGTGGAGCACTCCCCACTCCTGCGATTGCCGACGGCTAACGGATCCAATCCAATCCTTCATCTGTAGATCCCCTGTGCGGCCTACTGCCGAATTTTGCCGGACACTTTCTGCCGCCGCCGCCGCCGCCACCACAACCCACGTTACCCGGGGATGTGGAGGCCAAACTGGAGAACAATGAACTGTGGCAGCAGTTCCACAGCATCGGCACCGAGATGATCATCACCAAGTGCGGCAGGTTGGTACCATTTGTCTGTTTGCCTATTTGCTCGCCCCCCATCAGCTTATCTCAAGCTGATAAGTCTGCTCCGACTTATGGTGGAAACGTGTGACTAACATGCATCCCATATTGTCTCTGTCCATTTCAGGCGGATGTTCCCCTCGATGCGCGTTTCTCTCAGTGGACTGGAGGAGGAGGCCAGCTACTGCGTCCTGCTCGAGATGGTGCCCATCGGCGATTGCCGCTACAAGTTCTCCGGATCCCAGTGGGTTCCGGCCGGCGGTGCCGAGCCCCAGAGCCCCCAGCGAATGTATCTGCATCCGGAGAGTCCGGCTACGGGAAAACACTGGCAGTCACAGGCCCTGCTTTTCAGCAAAGTCAAGCTCACGAACAACACCCTGGATAACAATGGACATGTAAGTTTTATCCACTCTTAAAAGTTTTTAAAATATTCCTTTATTCCTTATTTATCACTAAATATCACTGATCTAGATTTATTTTCAAGAAATAAATATTTGCCTCTTTTAAGATAATATTGATAAATAACCTTTATCATATAATATCTCCAAATAAATATATCTTTGACTTTAAAAACATCTTATAATAAGTGATACTTTGTGTTCCGAAACTTTTCAATTTCATTAAAATCTCTAATAAATAATATTTTAGAGCTTTTTAACTTATTTTATGTCTTCTATCCTTTTCAGATCGTCCTGGCCAGCATGCACAAGTATCAGCCGCGTCTGCATGTTATACGCACCTCTGATCTCGGCCAGATTCCCTGGGCCCCCCAGCAGGCCTTTGTGTTCCCGGAGACGGAGTTTATAGCCGTAACAGCTTATCAGGTGTGTGTGTATTGCCTATATCTCAGTCTAGATATGAGATCTGATAACTAATCCACCTGTTTGCTATGCAGAATGACCGCATAACCAAGCTGAAGATCGACAACAATCCCTTTGCCAAGGGATTCCGTGAGTCGGGTCAGTCGAGGTGCAAGAGGAAGATCAATGACTCGCCACCGCCATCGCAGACGGAGGTTAACCAGGTGGATGCGATGCCATCGCCGTTAGCCAAGCGGTTGCGACTGGTGGAGGAAATTCCTCAGCATCATCAGAGCCATCCGAGCGTTCCAATGCAGCGTCACTATCTGCTGGACACTCGGGAAGCCAATTTCTATGTGCCAGTGCCAGTGGCAGCGCCACCGCCGCCGGCCATCGAGTATGCCAGGCACAACGGTGGCTATCCAAGTTGGGCCTATACCCCGCCATCGCCGGCCTCATCCGTCTCCTCTTCGTCCAGCGGTGAGTCTGCTGCCGACCGCGAGGCAGATGCCGACACCTTTGTCGATGTGGTCGGAACTGCACCACCTGCTGCCGCTTCTCCCGCCCCAGTTTCTGCTACAGCTCCCCAACCGTCCAGCGATCCAGCAATGCCGAAGCCGAAACGAAGCAGCTTCAGCATCTCGGACATATTAGGAACCAGCTCGTCCATTTAAACTGCGTCCAGTTGGGTCGGTCCATGTGCTCCCATTTGGATTGAAATCGGTGCCTTGTACATTTAATTAGCGTTTAGTTGCCATCGTCTGCGTAGTGTCTAAGCTGAATTGTGATATTTTGCAGTTAATTAGGATTTCCAGGTATTTGCCATCAGTATTTATCGTATTTATTATGCAATTTTAATTGTTCACATGATTTCGTAATGGATTTATTGTCTTTGGCATTTTAATGCGGGATAAATAAAATATGTATGTGTATGTATGTATGTATGTATGAATTCGATGGACATATTTCTGGGACAAACGATGCGGGGAATGCGGAGCAATTAGAAGAGACAAACTCCAAACTCCAAACTCCAAACCGGAGATCTGAATAAATTCCCCAATAACTTCCCATGACTGCGCTTTGAATCCTGTTCCAGCAGTTTGTGTTGCATGCTTCCATTTGCCTGTCGTCGCCGAATACATAATTCCGTTTTGGTTTTGCTTTGGGGTTTCGGTTTCATATCTCCCGCATGCGAGGCATTAAAACCTGTTCCTCCAGACCCCAACGGCCCCTTCCACTCCTCCTCCTCCTCCACCTCCTCCACCTCAAGCAAGCTCCCTTCTAAGAGCAGAATAACCCACCGGCAACCAGGCAACAACATCGACAGCAACAGCATGGACATGGGCTTATCAGCAGATCAGAGCGAGCCGCATCTTAAACGCTGGCGCCGGCGCCAAGTTAAATGCGCTGATTGAGCGCCACGATCGCCGGCAATCCTGGCGAGCAAGCGTTCCGACTCCACTGCTCAATCCCCGATCCCCAATCTCCAATCCCCAATCCCGAGTCCCGTGTAATTGATGTTTTCACATTGTAGTTGTTAGCGAAACTGTGGCCATTTACATGCAATTGTCCGGGTGTCCCATCACACATCTCCATGCAATCGAGCGGAAACGAGGCGGCTCCTTTGAAAGTCCAGGTCCACCAGTCGCAAGTGTTGATCGTTGATCCCAAAGAGAGCCGGCTAGATGATGATTGGCCGAAAAACGGCCAATCTTCGACGGTGGCATTCGCTTCAGTTCGCGTTAAGAAACAATTGTTTGGAGTCAGGATCCCAATATACCACCGATATCCAAACCCACACACGTAGCTGCAACCTGTTTTGCGGCCCATTCATGTTGCCGCTGGAAGTGTTTATGGGCTCCACATTAGCCACACTGCATATTCATGTTAAACGTCGCCAAAAGACTAACGACAACGTTTGGCCCATTGTGTTGTTGTTGCTTGTGCTGCTGCTGCTGCTGCCGTTGGCTTTACCTTTACCTGAAATTTATTGAATTCTCATTTGGGGGCATCCGCTGGGCCAGGAGAAGAGTCCATGTTTGGGGCCGGAGCAAACACAAACGTTCGCATGTCAGCGGCAAATGAGCCCCGGATCGGGGCTCACTCGGCGATCTGCCAGCCGAGATAAGCCATCCCCTCCACGGGCATGTGTAATTTCCTTGGAAATTAATGTTGCGGCGGCCGAAATCAAAGTCACGGGCAACATATTTCGCTGGCGACAATTTTATCGGCAGCACAATGAAATCATTTGGAGCCGGCGACGACGTTCCCATTCAACGCTGGCGATATTATGTCTTTGCCGGAGTTTGACAGTCGCATGTATGTATGTTTGGTGCTCTAATTGCTTTGGTAGTTCCCAATCCTTTATTGCAGACACAGAATAAATGCTAACAGAATAAATGTCAGATCGTCCAGCGTTGCTGATGATCATGGTAATATAACAACAGTTGTGTAACGCTGCTGATAATATAATAATAATAGTTGGGCAAAGTTTAGTAAATGCGATCGCCAGTACGCATGTGGGGACGGCGATGCCAGTGATTGGGATTCTTCAACTCCACCAATCGGGTCAAATCAAAGCCAGCTGGCACAATAATCGGCGCCTTAGCGCCCTTCAAAAGAGGCGGCACCTTTGGAGCTGGTTGCCCTGACAAATTCGGCAAGGGGGATACATACTCCTTTACGGGCTCCTTCGCGGGTTCCTTTACGGGCTCCTTCACGGGCTCCTTCACGGGTTCCTTCACGGGCTCCTTCACGGGTTCCTCCACAGGCTTGTTATCTTTCGAAGGAGCCACATTGGTCTGAAACATGAATAGATGGTAGGGGTGAATATTCAGAGTTAGATTTGGGGGTAATGTGGACTACCAAATTTCAGAAAAATGAATAATTGTAAGTCTATTTTCTTTGCGATGGTATTATAAAAGCATATGCTGAAAAACTTACATATTTTAGTTTTGCAACTAATACTACATTGGCTTACTGAAGATTCAGAAGTCGATCCTATAAATTAAACAAAAAAATATGGGACTATTTGGATCTTTGTATTAAACAATACTTTGTTAAACTTTGATTACATAGACCTCTAACTAACTAACTATATATCTAAGCTCGAAAACCGAAGAGTAATATAGTGTACATACTTTAGTTGGCTCTTCGCCAGCAACAAAGGTATCATCAGCCTCCTTTTTAGACGATTCCGTGTCAAAGTAGGCCTCCAGGGCCACAGAAAACTGCCGCAGGCGGGAACTCTTTGGCTGGCTAGGATGCTGCTGTGAGCCCAACCAAATCTCGGTGAAGGCGTACTTCTGAATGGCCGCCGTGTGGCGATTGGTGGTCAGGTGCTCCTTCAGCATCGGTGCAGGTTCATCCAGGTTGAAGAGTTCCTGGCTGGGCATCTGATTTGAGGCAAGTTGCGGCACATCCCTGGGGCAACAGGGAAGGGGATCCTGCTTTTGCTCACTAATCGGCGAGATGGTGAACTTTTTGGGACTCTTGAAGCGGCCCATCACCTGGGTGGCTTTGCCTGTGGAGACGCCATCACAGGCGGAGGAGTCACTGGAATGGATCTCCGATTCTGGGGACTTTGGCTTCAAGGTGACGCCCGAAAAGGCGGCCTGGGTCTCCTCGACCTGTGGGGGTATTATCTTTACACTGCGTACTATATGGAAAGCCGATGCCACTTGCCGTTTTCTCCACATTCTCCATGGAAGTCTCATGCTCGGATCCCGAGTCAAAGTCCGCGGCGCTGTCGCTGTCGCTCCCCGAGAATGAGGCGCTCAGGTTGTCGAAGGACGAATCGGTTTGGTTAAAGGAGTGGAAGGACTCATTGTCCTCGCTCTCCGAGTCACTTTTATTAGCAAGAAAGCTCATTTTTTCTTGATTTTCTTCCTAGTTTGCGAAAAGTACAAATTATTTGTATGGAATGGCGCAATAGTCAAAATGACAAGTTTCAGGGTTGCCAAGGCTGCCAAACTAATTGGGGCCGAATACACTTGCCGCTTTTTCAAGTTGCGTTTCCCGGGCTGCTTCCACTTTTACTTCGTATGGAATAAAATAAATAGTTTATTAATTAAAGTAGTTATTATATAATTAATTATTATAAATATCATGAATATTAGTATTTTCTTGGAAAACGAAAAATACTAGTGTTTTCGTGGAACGGGCTTAGACAGCAACAAATAACCCACTTTTAATTTACAGATCCCATTTTAATTTAGAAAAGGCTATTTGTCTAATTTAAAAATCAAATATTTTTAGTGTCAACAGTTTTCAATATATAAAAGTATTTGAATGTATTTATCAAGATAAATAACGCATAAAGTTTTTTGTCTAGTGGAAACACGAAAATAAGTTCTTATGTGTAAAATTTGGCAACTCTGCTAGAGCTTCTTCTCATTCAATGGCGCGTATTAATTTGAATTTGATTTTGTGGTTTGTCTTCGAAGACAACAAAAGTATGCAAATAGATGGCCAACGACGGTGCTGCTGCATTTTGCACTCAATACAGTTGTAAACAAAGCGAGGACAATGCAAAGGGGTCTAAGCCTCTATAACGCATATATGTACGTACTTGACGACGGCCATTGTGCTCCGGTTTTGATTGTTCCACTGCGAGTATTTTCCAACTGATCCCGAGATTTGCCTATATGATCATTTATGCACCCTCCCACCGGGAGAGCACTGTAGTGGACCTGCTTATGTGGGTGATTTTCATTATCCTCTAATTGTTTGTGCCATTGTTCACACGATAGGTTTGAGAAATTACACGCTTTGTTAATTGTGCCAGCCCAAAAGGGTCGCTGTTCCTCATACATACATACATACATACATATGTATATGAATATGCTAGCCCACATGTGAGCCCATTTGCATAAACTGCTTTTACGGCCTTTGTTGGCCGCTGGCCAATCTTCCTGCTGTTGAGCCTCATCTTGGTGCTGCGTTTGTTCTGCTCTAGTTTAGAACCCCAGCTTAGTAGGGTACAGGTCGATTTGGGAACCCAGACGGTTTGGTCTGGGTCGGTGCATCCGTTTTATGGCTTGGCTCCGGCGACACGGAAACCTTTCTTTGCCACGCTTTGTTGCATTCTCCTCGCGACCAATATATTTGCATTGGCCAACAATAAAAACTCAAGTACCATCGCATTGTTGCCATCTTGTTTGCCTAACGCCGGGCGCAGGCTAAACTAAAGTTTAGAAAAGGGCTCAGACGGAGGCCATCCGGGATTGGAAATCTACTCTGGTTTCCTTCTACCCTTAATCCACATGGAACAAATGTTGATGATCAATACTATTTATTCTTAATAAAGCGATCTCTTTTAAATTAAACATTGCATTGCTTTAAATTGCTTTGCAAATTTTATTTAACTTAATCATCAAAAAAGTGTGTTTCGACTCTTAAAGGGAACCTCAAGTTATTGTTTATTTATATGCTAACGATATTTCTATGTGCATTTTTAACTTTAAAAAAACTTAAAAAAAATACTTATCTAAAGTCTAAGATTTAAAGATCGGAAAAAGTAAATATCATCAGTTTAAGTTTATGTTTTCTTAGAACACCTGATGGCAAGAAGGAATGACTTCTCGAATCAAGTCTCAATTTGTAGTGGCAGCCACGCGTGCGCTGTGTAAAATGCTTTTCCAACTCATTAGCACCGCCAGTGCCAGTTCCCCCTAATAACTAATTAAGTTTCGTTTAGGAAACAATTCCCCCTTTTTTCTTGAGTTCCCCAAATTCGTGTTTACACAACAAAAATGCTGCTCGACAAAGTGTATCTAATTTCATAACAAAACAGAAAGAGGCAACTTGCAGAGGCCAGGCAACAAATGTGGCAGCGTAAAAAGCAACAGCCATAGTGCATTAATTATCCGGGGACCTGCGACATCTGCCGTGGATGGATGGGGTTTTGGGGGTGCGGATGGGGGAAGTACGGCCATTTAATGAGGCATTCATTGCACTCACAACCTTGCGCCTGTCAACACTCGCACACACGGCCGACATCTGTCACCCGTTCTAGACTGGAATCCCCTATAAAACCGCAGGCCTGCCGATCGGAACCGATCCCCAGAGGCCTAGAAAAACAGCAACATAAACGGCAACAATTTCAAATCGATTTGGTACACTGCAAGAAAATTATTTCTCAGTATGATGATTAAAATTTGATCTGCAAAACGCTTGTTTTTTGTAAGAAATGTATGAAATTGTACATTTAAAGATTGATATTTCATATTTATAAACAAAACATTAATTATTTATTTATAAAAAGACAAAAAAAACAAAAATCAAACATAAAAATAGGTTTTATGAAACGTTTTTAACTTAATTTCCTCTAAGTAATTACAGTTCGGATTGTTAAAAGAAAAAATCTAAACTATATTCATTTTATTTACAACATAACAATGATATTAATAAATTTTATTAAACGTTCAGGACAAATAATATTATCGTTAAAATATTTTGTATATGAATCTTTTATATAAAAAACTTTAAAAAAACCTTTTCTTATTTATTAAATTTTTTATTTTCAAAATCTAAATACTCTTAACCAAGTCAAAAGATCATATTCTCCTCAAGTTGATTATTTTTTTCGGTGTGGTTAATTGATTCGACCGTGTTTGTTTTTTCGATGGCTGGGCGGGCAGCGGTGTCTGCACCGCCCCTCTGTCCCTCCAGTGCAGACGAGACGTGGGTGGTGACGCATGTCATCGTAAACTTCATCATTGGCTCCGTTCAGCCCCTGGCCAAGATGCTCCGGCTCTGCAGCTCTTCATCTCGTCGGCAACTTACATAACGAATTGTCTATTTTCTTTGGCTTCGTCTCAGTCTCTGCCCATTTCATAAATAGCATGGCCTATGGATTCGAGTCTCTGGGGTAGCATCCGAGGGCTGCAACCAAAATTTCATGCCTTGTCGAGCTATTTAATTGCAAACAAATTATGTTCTAGCCAGTCGCATCTCTGTGTGGCTAATGGATGCTGCGGCGGAAGATGCCCATGTCGATGATGATGTTGTCGAAACCCGAACGTTTATCTTGTAAATTGGTTGGGATTAATGTCTGGCGGAAGTTGTGATTTCCAGCCCAAGATCGGCCAATGATAGAGGGCCAACTGGCGGTAGTATTTTTTCCGTTCCGATATGTTCATTTACCTACAGCGATGAGTGGGCGTTCTGGCTTTGAGAGCTCAGCCCAGCAGGATATTATAATCCTAAGTGAAATAAAACAAATCTATTTTCTTATACTTTAGTGTAACTTTTATTTAACTTAGTAACTAATCAGGCTATGATCTGTATAATATCAAATTGAGTACAACAAGTATGTTTATGTCTTCTAAAATCAAGAATAATACAGTGCCATCAATATTGTTCATTATTTAAATAGATTCAGAACAGTTTATCTTGAGTTTAAGAATGTCACTATGCTCTTTTTGTAATTAACAAAAAATGATAGCTTTTTATAACAAAATACATACAAACTTATTCTTGATCTAATTCTATAACTTGATTCCCTCTAACTGCCTCCCCCCAAGATGGCCGATATGCTGAAGCCCTTGCTCCTTGTAGAGGGTTGTTCCGGTGGCTGTTCCTGTGAGGATTGGTCCGCAGTGGTTGTTTCACTGCCCACATCCAGTTCGAGTTCCTCGGCTCCCGACTCATCCGATATGAGATCCCCACCGCAATTGCCTGGGGGAAGGTTCAGGCCAGGATGTGGACCCAGTCCGGCCTGTAAAATGGCTGCCGATGGATAGAGAGGTGAGGGCTGAATCCCTCCGCCGTACTCGTGGGGTCTTCCGAAATAGGTGCAGGCCAGGTCCACGAGTGAGGGTCTCAGCAGGCTCTGCATGTTCTGCTGGAAGTGCTGCATAAAAACGCTGGAGGCACTCCTCGCCTGGAGGGGATGGGGGGGATGTGGATGGGCCAAAGAATTGGCGCCAGGCGCCGCCTGATCGTCCAGCGATGACGATAAGGAGCAGGCGGAGCCATTTGATCTCAGGCGCTTAATTTGCGGACCATCCAAATCGCCGATTGCCGATGATGGTCCTCCTCCTCCTCCTCCTCCTCCTCCTGCCATCTCACTGCCTTTCGCCGGCGACATGTCAGATTCGGAGTGGGATTGCGAATGGGACAGTGACTGCGACTGCGATTGCGACTGCGACTGATCTTGATCCTCGCCAGTTGGCGATGAAGACATCTTGCGCTTGCAACGCGATTGTCCCGTTTCGCGGAAGCCCTTGGCAAACGGATTGTTGTCGATCTTCAGCTTGGTGATGCGATCGTTCTGCGGAAGAGAAGACAGACAGACAGTAGAGTAGGAGCGTGAAATTTGACGATTGCCAGCATAATCTTGGGTAACGGGGGGAGAGGACACATCGCATAAGTCACTGGCGTCCAGTAGCAGTGGCGTTAAGTAACAGGGCCACTTGACACCGGACCCCGACCGCTCAGTTCCACTCCAGATGACTTGACAACTTTGTGATCTCTCGGATCTCTCAACCCGAATCTCCGATCTCTCGGCGATCTTGCTAATTAGAGGCAGACTGGCGTCGGCTGTCAATGGGCCCAGACCTAGACAAAAACACAGCGAGGCGCTCAAATTTACAAGGATGTGGCTATCCAACTTCCTAAAACAACAATCCAACCCGCTGACTTTTTGCCTGCCCGCCCTTTCGGATCTCGGATCTCGAACGTCGAATCTCGGAGGCGTTCCATGCTAATTCGAGACGTTGACCAAGCTACCCACGGCGTGAGCGATCGCCGCTCGTTTGCCCAAAATTAACCAATTAGTGTGTTCGTTCCCAGTCTCTGGGCCAGTGCTCAATGCTCAATGAATTGGCAAAAAAGTGCGCTCAAGAAAGGCAGGCTAGCCTCGAGGACACATGCTTCGAATACACTTGGCAAAAACATTTCCCCTAAAGACTTAATGGTGCGACTGCGAGGA